AACTTCCCAAATGCTCTCCTCAGCATACTAACATATTGGGCTCCAGTCTTGGATGACTTTTCAGATTGCACTAATCAACAGAAATCAGCCTCGATTAGTGCCCAAGTTTGCACTGGTTACTGACTGCTTGCAAGACGTAGATCCCAAGTCCCTATGTGATGTTCGGCTGATGACAAATGAAGACCACTTTACATCTAAAGGAGGAAAACTGGATCAGCTTGCGAAATGACTAGTTACACTCATTGATTATGTATCCCTGAGGTGGATCGTTATCCCTATCGATGTTGGTCTCTCGTCACATCTCAGCGTCACCGGCGAAAAGCAATAAATCCAAGGTGATCAGACTCTAAAGCTCGTTATGAAACACGAGATACGGACTCGGACTCAAAACTGGTTGTTGTGGAACACCACTTTTGATATTAAACGGATCGGACAGTGCAGTTACTGATGCAGTACGAAATTCTTGATCCAGCCAATAATATATCTCAGTTCCGTAGCTTTAGAACATATGAAGCAGAATGTAATAGTCCACGCGACTGAAGGCATTTCATACGTCGATTAAATGACGTCAGTCCCTGTCCCTTTGTCGTTCACTTCCGTCCAACAACTGCGTGTGATCAGTAGATTTGGTTTGCATGTTTGGTGCTGATAGGGACCGTGCTACTCAAGTGCTATGATATAGCCTTCTAGATAGTCGACTTAAGCCTCACCGATGATTGTCCCCATCGCCTTTGTGAGCACAAGGAGGAGAACCAGTGTGTGATATTTAACGAGTGAATGAGCCATGTTTACACATAGTAGGCACCATTTGTTTACCCCAAAACGTTTGAAACGTATGCTATAATGGTTCGTTCATCGTTGTTGCTGCTACGTTCAACGCACTCAGGTGAACGTCATGGATTCCGAAAAGACGGAGCTTGCGCAATGAGAGCAGTTTACTCAACAAAATTTTGGTCATAAACGTGACGTGAATAGGCGTTGATCTTATGGCGATTGAAGTATATAGCATTGGCGGACGTCCAATTGGTAGATCGTGCATATAGCAAATGTAACGCATTAACTGCTTCTTCGGCACTCTGCCAATTTGACTGTCCTGTTAACTAGTGTTCTGTGCTTTGCTTAACGGATACTGTTAACAAGTTTATACAATAGCATTTTGTTTTTGGAAAATTTAAAGGTAAGATATTGTTGGTGAGCCAATTTGTCTTCGCGGACAAGCAAAATACAGTTGCTGTGCTGGGAAATGTAGTCGCTCTAGGTTTCGAGACTAGGAACCGCTCTGTAAGCGCTACAAGCTGCACTCATTACTGACCTATGCTATCGAGTTCTGATTGTGATGAACAACGGTGGTTTGGCGGTACGAACCCGTTTATTTTTTGAATCCGTTACTGGTAGATTTCGGATACATAAAAATGCTAGATCCTGACATTTTCAGAGCAGCCACCATACAAGAATTCCAAATTGGTCATTGCCACTAGATCAGTTTGTAGTTTATTTATACGTCGCGCACCAAGCAGAAGTCACGTGTTAAATTCCGTACCTACTCGTCAGCCCTCAGTAGCTCAGTGGTAGAGCAACGGACCGGAAATTCGTTGGGCTGGGGTTCAACTCCCCGTCAAAGCACATTATTGTGTGTGAGTTTTAATCGTGACTTCTACTTTCTAGGAACTTTACATTACTCACAAACATCCACGATTAATCTACCATCGCCCTTGGGACTTCGGATGGACAGTTACTTCGGTTCACTGGGAAGTGACGAGTGAGTGAGCCAATCTGCAACACCAGGACAGGTACTGTGAGCTCATTGGCAATACGTCGCGCACCAAGCAGAAGTCATGTATTAAAGCTTGCGCACCTGATCGTCAGCCCTCGGTGGCTCAGTGGTAGAGCAGTTGACCGGAAATTCGTGGACCGGAGTTCGATTCCCCGTCGAGGCAGATTTTCGTGTGGAGTTTAATCGTGCCTTCTGCCTTCTACGAAAGTTTGTAGTTTTATTGTGTGATGTTGTGCATTGTCTTGGTGTTTTCCTCCTCGTATTCATCAGAACACACATTGTAAAGTACGGTAATGTGACTACTCAGCCCCACTAGGGTCTCTATTAATTGTCAGTCGATCTTGTGATTTTCATTGGTGAGTAGGATGTCTAGTACCGATTGTTATTTTTTCAGCTTTTTGCCTGGTTAGTGAGGTAGAGTGCTTGCGATAAGATCTTGCAATTAAGTCTTGAATATTTCGCTGTTGGATACAAAGGCACCCAGGCAGTGTACATTGAAATCTTCTGATACAAGAACGCGGCTTTAAGTTTGACGTAGGCTTTTAATCAACATTGATGTTCGGCAGGAATCCGTTTCTGTAGTAACGAAGGTGGAGAGAAGGAGCAAATCAATTGCCACTGAGCAGTTATCATTGTATCGGAGACGCAAACTGCACAATAGCGCATTGATGACCCACCTCTTTAGACAGTTCAGTGTTTTTCCTGACAAATTGTCGGGGTAGTAGAAAATCACCCCACCTCATTTGCTAGGACGCTTGCGTTGGAACAGTACCATTTCGTGAATCGTTATCTGGGCATGGTAAAAGCTAAACGCACGCAAATCTCGCTTCTGGATTTACGATTCAAAGCTTTTGTTTTTTGAAGCAACCAAGCTAACAGGTTTGCTGATAAGGCTTTAGGCGATATCGGACATGCAAGGAAGTTTTTCGGTTCGCAGAAGTCAATCTAACACATGTGGTTCGGATAAGAGATTGTGCAGACTGTTACGTGTTTGGCAGAGAGCCGTTTGTGGTGGTATTATCGGTCAGCAACCTAGAATTGAGATCGTAGACATCTTATTTACCCCCTCTGTTTACTCATTTTGCACAGTTCATGAAGTATGACTACATGATTGCGTAGGTTTCAGAGACGTCCTCAGTTTAGTTGGCTGCTAAGGGAGCGCTCGAAGTCGGGCGAGAATGTCCTTTGTCGCGTTGCACCGGAGATCGGTTGTCAGTCGCTTCCAAAGTGACTGCAGGTTTTTCAATAACCTAAGGGCTGTCCGTCCTACTAAAAGCACTACCTTTATTATCCCTATATCGCACCCATGCTATCCTATTAATCTAAACCACCTTGAGATAGAAGTCGCTTCAACGTTATCCAAGAGCAGGTACTCACGGATATAGCGCCACCGCTCTTGGTCGTGTGCTTCTGCTTCGCATTAGTCGCGCGGATTAGTCGTGCGGACGCCGTGGACAAAAGCGGTTCTAGCTACAATGTTAACGTGCTATTACTCTACGGTTTTTTTGTTCGACCGCGCTCTCTTTTTCCGGAAAGGCTGGGGAGAAAACAATTAAACAGGATCAGTTCCGAAGACAAGCTAATGGAAGCAAAGTATCTTCCACCTAATAGACGTGGTTAACATAACTCGAAGAAGCCTGCCTTCAATACAGTGCTTGGAATTCTGGAGACGGTTGATCATCGTCAGTTTGGTGAGCTTAGTCAGAGCACCGAGCAGGTCGATTATGATGTTCCATTTCTTTAGGTCGTTCACTTGCTTTCGTGTTAATTAATTCGAAGTTTGATGATGGAACATGGATACATATTTGTATATGGTATCCCGTTCTTTCCGAGTTATTTTTATGGCAATCTATCCGAGAACTAATATATATTGCCATGATTTGAAGTGAGAAGTGATATGGTTCTGCACCAATAGTTGTAAAAACAGGCAGACCACATATCCTTTCAGAAGAACTTAGTAGGAAATTCTGACCAAGTGCCGTTGGTACTATCACACCGACGCATCTTATTGATGAAGTAAAGAACAAGCTGGCTTTATAACTATAGAAAGTCAGTCTGAGAATATACTCACGTTTCCATATGGGCGATTTTGCAACTAATTTTGATTTATCAAAAACATCGTTAAAGATTTGCGTCCGATCGACTTGATTGGCTGTTGATGGGATCGGGGAACAGTTCAGACGACCCTGCTTCAACTCATAGTCCGGGAATAAACGCTGAGCTAGTAACTGAGTTAAATCATGACTGAAACCCAGCATGCCGGTTGACGCTTTATTGCTGTTAAGAAAACCGCTTAAATATCCGGTGTGAAATGTTAGCCAAAATGTTCTGTTAGCCATGATGACTCCAATAATGTTAAGTTAATGCTATAGGAAACATACAACAAAGCAAGCAATCGGACATAAAACAATGTACTAACACCAAGAAAAATCCTGTATTATACCTTCAGTAAACGCTGTACAAATGAATGGATGAGTCATTAAGTAGGTTAGCTTAAATCAAGGTCCCAAATAACAATGGGTATGGAAACTCAGTAGGAAGCATGCGTTCTAATGCATTAATCAATTAGATGTTTAGAAATAGTTCTGCCGTTTTATTCAATCGGTATGATGGTACTCGCACTCGAAGCTAGATTCAGTTATGCGGAGTATAAGCAAAAAGCACTCGCAAAATTTAACTTAAGACCGCACCGATTAGAGATTGGCAAACAGCGAGTATCTTGACCTTTTGCCGTAGTAACTGAACGTTTTCTAGCAAGTGAAGTATTGTGCGGAGGAACATTTAGAAATAAAAGCAGTTTGACCAGCTTTGGGTTTAATCACACTACGTACTTGTGAAGGGATTAGATGATGTTAATATAGAAAATGCCCATTTTGATTTCTAACAACAATATTATAGACGCAGTAACCGTAAAGTTATCAGCAATACGCGGCTGCAATTCTACATCTAACATAGTCAGTATATCCTGTGTTTCAGAGATGCCACTTTTCTCATTTTTCCTAACAAAGGTGGTGCAATATTGAAGAAAGAGGAACCATAATTATTATGTGTATTACCAGCCAACTATATTTACAGCCACTTTACCTTATCGTGCAACCAATGTAGCATATGTGTTACACTAAAATTTTGATAAGACAGTTTAAAATAATACTACCTTCCTACAGTGAATTTAAGAACATTCTGTGTCAAAGCAAGAATCTAGGGTATCTACAATTATGAAACTTACAACTCCTTCTGCTGTTCGGTCTTGAAACCCTGAGTACTCTTCGCCATTGCCCTCATAACATTCTACATCTTTGGCTGAAAGATTTATCAAAGAAGAAAGACAAATAAAGAAGCAACTTATTGTTTCATCTAAATATGAAAAACGAATTCATTTTGGCGACTGCAGCGTTTTGCTGCTTAAAGCAGGTCAATTTCTCAGACTAACGAAAAACGTAAATGTAGTTGCCCTAACCCGTGGGAGTTTGTAATTAGTAGTACTTCTTATGATGTGAACAGCACTGCATAAGGCGAATCTCGCAGGAAACGAATATCAGTTGCCTTGTACTTAGAAACCACCTTCGCTTCCTCATTACTACCGGCTTCAAGTACCAAGAAGGGACAGTAAATCCCTGCTGCTTTGCAAACTAAGGCATAGATGTCTGGATTAGTTGCCTCATAAAAGTGTAGAACATAATCATACGGCCGGCACGTCAAACAATCATCGATGTCTGCATATAACTCTTCTATGGTTGAACCACCAGTGCATTATATGCAACTGCCAACGGAGTAATTTATGAAAAGTGTGAATATAGTAAAATTTTTGGTCTTCGTCTTCCTTCAAGAGCGCCGTCAAACGCTGCTTCTGCGGTCAGAGGGGACGATGGAATTGTTAGAGTTTGACACCAGCAATTAGACTGGTCAAGAGCATGGAAAATCTAAGCCTGAGTAGCCCTCCAAACATTTTAGCGAGAACGACGTGAGAGGGAAAAGAGAGTGCATTACCGCAACAATGTGCAAATGACTACTCACAAATCCGTACAGATATGGACCGTGTTTCCATTTCGCAACCTAACACGGAAATGATTTAAGTGACACGCACTTCAACGTACCTTACGAGCTTGAGCCTGAGAACAAACCCTCCATGATTCATCCCAACTCCGATTCTGGTCAGCCAGGAGTCGTTCGAAAGCCCGCGATCTGCTTTCCTGGGGCTGCATCACTTGGCTTGCGTTTAGTTTTGTGGGCTTGGTTAGCAGCGTTTTGTTTGATTCACTGCGTTTTTGACAACTACCTTCTCCGTTGTTCGGAACCTAGACTCCTTACCAGGTGCCGCTCGTGAGCCGCTGTCGGCTCCATCGGCAAGGCTCATCTTATCCATTGCGCATGTTGGTCATCCCAAATCATCCCGTCTTTGTTGTCTTTCTGGGACACGAGTAGTCGTTGGCTTCCGCTGTCCTATATTAGCGGTCACCCAGATTGTTAGTGCGGACCACTAAAACATCCTGATTGTACCAGAGTTTGTTACTAAATAAACCAGTTGTTTTATTTTCACACATTTGAGTGTTTGTTTCTAGTTCGACCTGCGGTAAACACTTGTAGAAAAATAAAACTATAACTGTAAATATAACTAAAGACTACTACTCCGCCTCCAACCACGATCTCACTATTTAACCTTAAATAATCTTGCAGAGTAATTGTTTGATGCACAGTAGTCGGCTAGTAGATTATCGGAACAATGCGCATCCGTTACCTGTACCTCAGCTGGCTTGCAACAGTCGCAATCCGTTTCTCCATATTTCTTCTATGTAATGCGGCACAGTAGCTGAGGTGTTTCCTACCTCTAGCTAACGTGTATGATGATGATGATGACTCGCAAAATTGAAAACCAAGATTGAAAAGGCATGGCAGAGCACAGAGCTAGTGAGATGTGGCATGCAGGGTGCTCCGAAGTAAACTGGGGTAGACTAAGCATTCAGTGGAGTTGGATGAATAAAGAAGAATGAATCAGAAGGGTATAGATAAATAGCAAATGCAACTGGACATGTTTAGGTGTCTCATGTAAAGCAACAATACCTTTTGCTGTTTTTGAAATAACAACAGCTTGGTGCTTAATGGCTCGTGTTTACACTGGTTCCGACGCCATTACTGTATGATACTGAAGTAAGCAGAAGTTCCGTAAACAGGCTAACATCGTTTAGCGACAAATCTATTTAGGTTTAATTTTGTGGGCCGAACCTTATTAAACAAGTAGCGTGGTAAAGTTCTCTTGTCTAATCGGTATTGAAACGCTGCGCCGTGGAAGCATTCAGAAGCATCGTTAGGGGGGCCCTCAAAATTGTTGGTGCTCAACCATTTCCTCGATCGCACAAGCTTTTGACGGTACTTTGTAAGAACTTATTGCTTTACTCACCGGCTGTTTTGCTGCAATAAGTGTTGTACAAGGGGTGTTGCAAAAAGTTTATGTGTTTCCAGGGAACTTAAAATATTATGATTTAGAAGAAGGAAATTTTGAAAATTAACCAAAGACGAAATGAATAAACACAAAGACATCTGGCCGGATGGAGTGTTACTCTACGAAAGGAACACTTGATTAGTATGACCGTACTCACTTTTCTCATAGCCAGTGTCAGCTAGCCTATAGCGAAATTTGGAAGACGTTAAAGATACAAGAAAATGCGCGCGGCTAATGTTCAAGTCAAGTCTTGACTTGACTAATAATAATAATATCTTTGATCGCCAATTGGAGTCATTTTCAGGATTTATACATATGTATACTGAAGCGGGTCAGGCCACCTAGATATGCTAAAAACGCGATCATAGCAACTGACGGTCTTCTTTGCTTAAATGCACGTGCAGGAATCGTGAAACCTGTGTCAGCAACATTCCTGAGTGTGAAGTGTTTGCCTTGCTAAACATCACGGCTTGTTCACTGCTTGGTTCTAACTTGTAAGCTTGCTGGCCGAAGGAAATTCGATCAGCATTATGATTAACGCTGTCTCGTTATCCGAAAGATGTCGCACATAGGCTCACGTGGCTTTGCCTTTAAATTCTGTCACCAAGCAGCGCCTTACACTTTAAACCATTAAATGTTCATCGTGTTTACTTTTAAAACCTTGTGATCACAGAAAACTAAGAGCTCTCTAACAACAGTTTTTATAGGAGGCTAACGACTCAAACTTTCAACTTTTCATTTCCACACCAGCCATACAATATCAGTGTAGATAACAACATATCAGCCGCAAAGTCCGAACCCGCCCAACCGCCGACGTGGATACAGTTGACGGAGTGCTGATGCACTTCGGTACAATATCGACAGAAACACCAGATTACATGTTGCATATCATAAGGTATTCTGAGATTATGTTCTCCTTCCACACAAAAAGCATCCACAAAATACGCGGCAACTTCCGGAAGCATGCTAAGAACCCGAAAGTTAAAAGCATTTAAAATAATATGAAGTACCTTACAATGCCGTTCATAAAAACCGTCTCTGGTAAAAATTAGAGATAAATAAATTTACAGAGCCATGTGTTGTCAAAAATCCCTTTGCTTATGCTCAAAAGCTACTAAAACCGCAGCACCTCTTACCAAATTAGAAGGATCGCCCATTAGAATATGTGCGAAATATTGTATGATATCCCATCTCTGCATACGATATAAAACCGGCTTTTCAGTCATAGCAAGAATATCTACCTAGTAGGAACCAACACCACGGTTGACTTTGGCATCTACCTCTCCGAGCCTGAACTGGCAACTTCCTAATTTAAGTGACAAGCATTTCCCTTCACAGGGATGTCTTAGAGACCCAAAAAATGTCGTCTAGCAGCCGCAGCCCTAAATCCCCATATGTATTCCACCGTCATTTCTCCAAATGCAGCATTCTCAGCACCTTGGCTTTCAAATAGACAGTTGTTGATCCCCTTGTTCTCCATTTCGTACGCTATCTACAGTTGTGCTGTTTTCTCTTTTGTTTATCTGGATAGTTCTGTTATAAGTGTTATCCTGGTCTACTAACTTTGAACTGGATCCGGAACGTTGCACAAAGCGCAGTTTGTGCCATGTACGGTCAAAATGTCGGAAACACCATCAAAGATATTTAAAAACCAGAATTTGGTAAAATGAGAAAGCACCGTGATGCCCCGCAAGGTGGACTAGGATGTCGTCTTTCAATAAAACCAAATCTCTGATAATTCATTCTGGCAATCAGCACTATGTACATAGTAAAATTGCCGACCACAGTACCAATATGCAGCGCAAGGAACACGCAAACGAAGGTACTAGAATGATTTACGCAACATAGTTACATTCCAATGTGGACAATGAAGTTAGTTAACTCATTGGATATCGCCGAATCACGGAGGAGGCGTTAGCAACTATTTGAAATAATCATTATCTAATTCCCTTACCTTGCTGCCTACTTATTTCAAGTCAGAATTTCAATGCCATTAACTAGAGTGCGAACCGAAATTTCTGAGTGGATTTCATTCCATGATCATCAGAAACGTTTACATTACTCCCGACGTATCATCAGCTGAAAACAACGATTTTGCAGATTATTGCTCAGTCTTTTTTGTTGTTAATGACTTTAATAAACGTATTATAATATTCTTTTCGACAGCTGTCCTAAACCATACGGTATCTTCCAAAACCATACTCGACATGCAGTTATATTGTGTTACAAACAAAACTCAGTCGTTTTTCACTTAAAGCTGGCTTTTCTGGGCAACACAGACTATTATTACCTAAAGATCTGTCCAGTCCTCTCAGTAATACCAAAACTATCATTAACAAAAACGTCCCACCGATCAATCAGTCAAAAAGAATGCTGAACAGCAATTATGGCGAAACTCCATGCGACTCCGGCCATAACTGAATCTAGCTAATACGGAGGAAATCCATGCTTGAGTTGCAAAATAACTTACTGGATATATAAACATCTGGTTTGATCTATACTGCTGTTTTAAAAATATCTACATGCACATAGACAAGTTCCCCTCACTGCTAATGAAACCTATCAATATCAAATGTCTATGCAGGTTAAACGACTATTTCTAACAATACAATCAACAAAATAATGCGATCGAATGGTTTATATACTGTGTAAGGCAAATATGATTGTCGCGAGCTACGGGGGATTTAAAAATTGGTGGCGAAAGTTCCCATTGTCCTGATAACTCAGTACCGAGTCCTGTTATTCCCCTCAGGGCATGTGTTGTGTTTACTCCATCACAGGTCCGGCAGTCACCGTTAATCTCCTTAGGGATTAAATGGAACACCAAAAGTTAAAGAAACCTAAGACCTCAGAAATGTAAGCG